AAAAACCCAAAATTTAAAAAAAACCCTGAAAAAATAACTGGGTAAAATAAAACTAAAAAAAATTTATTAAAATTTTTTAAAAAAAAAAAATTAAATGGGCAAATTTTTTCCGAAAATTTTTAAAATTTGGGGGGGGAAAACCCATTTTGGCCGCAAAAGTCCATCTAAGTACCGTTTTTGCGGTACGGAACCGTCTTAGTTACAGCAATTATTATTTTTTTAATTTTATGGTTTTCAATATTTTGGGGGAAAAGCTGTCGAAAATTCATGCTGAAATAGTGCGCTTGATGCGTACAGTTTGTTCAATCTCAACAATTTTCACGCATTAAATATAATGTCATTTAAAATTTAATTAATTGCCCCAGCATTTGCTTTCTCTAATTAAAATTGTTTAATTCTATACCGAATATATATAGTAACAGAATCTTTTATCAAAAATTGTAGATTTATTACAGAAACTACTCTTTTGCAGCGATGTCACTTTCCAGAAGCGTCATAAGGTCGGCGACTTTTCTTTTCTGCCAGCTTTTTGTTTTTGGAGAAAGATATTACAATTAGCTTACCAGATAATACAAAAATGCCAAAAAACAAACAACTAGATCTTGAAAAGTTTCTAGAAAAGTGTGGTTTTTTGTATAACTCTTTATCGCAGTTAGTTTTCTTTGCTGGCATATGATCTTAGACTGCCCAAAGATGCCCTTTTATTATCAAATAAAAAATATAAAATATTATATATATTAAAAGCTGCAAATGCCTCTAGATGTGAGCTAAAATATTGAAAGAAAATCAAACTTAAGATTTACTATAAATTTTAAGGAAGGTATTTACATTCTGTTAATAGTTTGGCACAAATGAACTGATTTTGCAGTATTTTTCGCAATATTTCTATGCGTGACTAACGTTGTTTTTTTTTGTTGTTTTTTTTGTGTGTGCATAATTTTTGACATTATTTTGCTAAAATATTACATACCATTTGGACTGAAAGTGCTGTTTGAAATGTGTATAGTACGGATACTTATTTTTTCACTTCAAAATAACTTTACTGTTTTTTAAACCATTTTCAAACTTTAAATAAATATAGAGCCATTGCAGCTTTATTCCATAAGAGGAGAAGCACTATTAAGTATATTTCGATATTAAAATGACTAGACCTTCCCCCTTTAAGATTAGTTTTATAGGGCCCTAGATGGCAATAAAAAGACCATTTAATTGCGTATGAAAATTAAATTATTATCAATTCTCCTAGGGTAGATTTCATAGTCAAAAACTTAGATTTTATTTAAATATTTTAGACCAATAGGCCAACAACATTACCTGTTGGGTTTTAATCCGTTCGTCTTTGCCGAAGTTGAGGACACTATGATGTTAAATTCTTCTGCAAAACCGCACTTGAATAAAAAAAAAACACTAAGCAGTCCTATAAATGCAGTCCTGCAATAATGCTCATCAACGAGTTAACAATGTCTAACTTTGTAGGACTACTTATTGTATCTTTAGAATTGTTACTTTAAAACCCACTCAAACAAGAACGTGTCTGATTAAAACAAATGCCCCCGAACCAAATTCTTGACCATCCTTTATAATCATCAATAAATGAAGGCTGTATGAGCAATGTGAAAAAATGCCTATCAGCACTCTTGATCTTGACCCCACTTATCCCTAGCTCAGAACCGCAAAATTATCGTCCTGCCAAAAAGTATGTCAATAAATAAAGGATGTATGAACAAATCAAAAAATCTTATTTAAACACTTGTGCCTTTGACCTTACTTACCACTGGCTGAAGACTATCCACGTTATGTTTCTACTAAATATAAATGACATCTGTAAGGCATGACTCGTAACTACATCCAAATGATGTTGAGGACTACACTAAGCATCAATTTATAAAGTCAGTTTGAGGCAACGTGTAAACATTTATTTTATTCATTGATCATGAAAGTGATCCTAAACCATTAAATATATGGAAAATACAAATAAGGTTGCTAGGAAAACTATAGGATATATCAACTTGTCGGAATAGGTTAACCATACCAGGATTATTTTGTCAAAGAGATAAACAAGAGCCCGGTTTGAGCCGGATGATGCTCCCCGAATAGGTTTTGGACACAGGAAAGTACACCTCTTGTAGTTTCAGAGTTATGTCCCAAGGTTCAAAGTGCAATAATTCCAAAATTAGGCAAGGCAGAGTTACTGTTCTTTGCACTGCACTTCTAATCAATGGATCTATCAACCTACAAAGTTTCTTGTTGATACCTCTTTTGGTTCGGAGTACATTTCCCCGGATAAAGTTCAAAATGTAAAAATGTAAAAAAAGTGCAATAATTACAAAATTTGGCAAGGCGGAGTTCTTGTGCACTACACGTCTTCCCATTGAGATCTATCTACCTTCAAAGTTTCATGTTGAAATCTCTTGTAATTTTAGATTTATTTCCCCGGACAAGATAAAGGGGAGATAATTCAAAAATTGGGGCAAAACAGAGTTTATGTTTTTTGTACATTTCTTTTTACTCAATGAGATCTATCACCAACAAAGTTTCATGTTGATATCTCTCTAAATTTAGAGTTATGTCCCAAACAAAGTTCAAAAAAGTAAAAATAAACAAAAAGGCAATAACCCAAAATAAGGCAAGGCAGAGTTATGATATTTGTGCACTGCACATTTACCCCATTGAGATATATCTACCTTCAAAGTTTCATGTTCATATCACTTTATAGTTTTACAGCTATGTCCTGGACAAGATTTTTCTAAAAAGGGGAGGGTTATTCAAAACCGGGCAAAATAGAGTTATGGTTCTTTAACACTGCACTCCCCCTCAATGCCTTCTACCACTTGTATGAAGTTTAAACAATTATCTCCAAGGGTTTTTAAGTTTTGCTCCGGACAAGAACAAAGGGGGGCATAAAAAAGACTCTTTGGGAAAAAGGGGGACCAGTTATAATAAGTTAAGCAAGTTGTACTTCGTATCGATAGAAGGGGTGAATTTGAAGCCATTTGACAGTTGACTTTTAGATAAACCCCAAAGTGTCGGTTTAGTTAACTATTAAAATTTTCAAAAAGTGCTAAAAAGGATTTTAAAATTGGAAAAATGAAAGCATTTTTTTTTGTTTTTTACCAAGTTCTATACGTTTTTTCGATAAGTTGTGGTAGCCCTTGATACAGTTTGAACTTATTGGTTTAAAAACCCAAATTGTCGGTTAAGGTAAAAATCGTATGGAAAGACAGACAAACGGGTTTAACGGGGGCGCAAAAAGGAAAAAAATTTTACATAATTTTTAAAAAATTTTGAAATACGCCCTTTTTTTCTTTTAAAGGAAAACCCCCTTTTAAAAACATTTAAATTTTTAAATGGGCAGGGAAATTTAAAAAAACATTTGTTTGTTTGGTTTTTTTGGGCCGCTCTTCCCGGCAGGCCCCAAAATGAATTTTTAAAATGTAAATCGAACCATTTTTTAAAACAATAATTTTTAAACCTACAACAGACTTTAAAATTTTACCTTTCCATTAAAGTTTTTTTTGATTTTTTAATTTAATCATTCACAGCGATTAAATAAGTTAAAAGGGAATATTTTAGTTACAAAAATTTGATGTAATTTAAAATAAAATTCCGACGACAACAACGAATTTTCTTCGTAAATTAATTTAAAAAACAACCCGTTTCCCCTAAAAACACTTTTTTCTTCACAAAATTTTTTTTCGTTTTGATTTTTTTCCCTTTTTCGTTTTTTAAACATTCATAAGCTTGCTTTTTCTGAAATTTTTTATTCCCGGGTCCGGTTTTGGGAAAAAATTTACCATTGCCCAAATGATGGTTTCCCAACCTTTTTTCGTTGTTATTTAAAGGGAAAAAAGGAATCCCCTTAAAAAACGCAATTCGTTTTCCGGGTTCCCTTTCCGGTCGGGGATCATCATGGTAGCTTTTTTGTCGCTGATCGCTCCATTTGGGAATTTTAAGCTCCGTCCCAAAGGGAAATTTTTTTTACGAGTTCAGATAAGTTTAAACCCTTTCAAAACCCCAGGGGCCCGCAAGTCTCTTTAGCGAAGGGAAAAAGAAAAATAAAATGGTAAATAAATTTAAAAGAAACAGTTGAAAATATAAAATTATTATATATTTTAAATTTAATAACATATATGTAGCTAATTGGGGAAAGATAAAATATTTACCCTTAAAAATCAAAATTTAATTTTTAAAGGAATGAAAAAAAAATTTTTAATACTTATCAAAGTTCCCAACCCGAAAAAGGGAAGCATTTTGTAGAAAATGTTTGTAAAAAGTTGTTTTAAATTAATAAATACAGAAAATGAAGAGAATTATTGCTGTTTATAATGGGGTGTATAAATGAATACCACAAACCCTGATAGTGGCTACAGAATCTAACCTATTCGACCAGTCGACCAGCACTAGACCAATATCAGCCAGCACAACCAAGCCGTCTGATCATGGTCAGCACTTATTTTTATTTAAAGCCCCTATAAAATTCCTGAACTGTTTTGTTACAACTGAAAGATTTATATTTATGAAGCGTTTTAATTCATGAATACAGTTCAGGAAAAATGTTGTAAAAAACAACTTGCACCTAAACTGGCAGGCAGCACAATTTTTTCTAAAAAAAATCCGCCTTGTTCTTTATTTATATCAAATTAGTTTATCAAGTTTATCTAATTGTGTTTTATCTTCAAACACAAAGTGCGTAGAATCCTGGCAAATGTTCCGCACATAAAATTAAAATTTTTAAACACATAACAATTTTTGTAACACACGTAGAAATTTCTTCCTTTGAATAAATTGTTTCATTTTTTCAGCTAAATATAATTACCAGGAAACAAAATACCATTTTCATTTAAATTTTTTAACAAACAGTGTATTATTTTTTAAAACCAACGAGCTAAAACTACAACATTTAAATAAAAAACCCCAACAACTTACCTCTTCTTCCGGGTTCAAATTTCTCGCAAGAGTCTTGTCCCCCTTGAATACAAATTCGAAATTAAAATTTTTTGGTTGTTTCTCACGATCCATCCATTGCACTCTGAAAAGGGAAAGTAATTTTTGTAACTTTTTTTTTTTATCTATTCAGTTATTTGCCTGTTGTTTGTTTTAAATTTTGTAAACGTTTAACCAAAATCAAAAACAAATATTTGGTAATAAATCTAGCTCATATACGAACATTCATTACATACAACAAGTCAACTGTAATCCTCCCTTGGGTGGGGTGGCAATGGGTGTAAATGGAGGTGTGATATCGGAGAAAATAGTCTATATTTGTAACCTCCCGTCTTGTCCTATGTACTTTTTGGTGCCCCAAAATAGTGTTTGCTATCTTCAACTGGTCAGTGCGGGGCGCATTAAACCAGTTCCTATATCTTTGCGAGGGCTAGAACCTTCACTTTGTTGGCTGTTTTAGAATCAAAGAAGTCAATATCCGCTAAATTTTCTTCAAGGTCGGTTTTAATAACTGACTGATGTTCAACAACTGATATGTCTTCTTTACAATATCTCAATTCAATTTATTAGGGTTGAACAAAACTAAACTCGTGTCAGGAATTCCGAGTTAGCCAATTCAAAATCACATTTTGTTAAATAGAAAGTAAAAATTAAATAATATATAAAAAATTAGTAAAAATTACAATAGACACAGATGAGATAACTTAGAAAAACAAAATATCCAAATATCTAACATCATTTAAAAATAAAAATTAAAAATACCTTATTCAACGATAGAGCCTTAAATCCAAACCTCACGTTTTCAAAAAAAAATTGCTTTTGCTTAACAAAGACTAAAACAACCAGAAAAGATCAAAACTAAAATATTTCTGTATGAATTACATACACAATATTGACTAAATGTCTGTTTCACACGTCAGTGAAAGCTCCCTCTATGTTTGGAACTCAGAAAGTCTAAAACAAACTACAAATAAAAAATACTGATTTCAAAACCAATAGCTCTTGAAACGATTCTGAAATACTACTGTTAGAGTTACGTTTCCACGACCGAGTTTTTATACATTTTACAATTATTTATATTCCATATATTTCCTTACACTTTGGATATTTTATGTTTAGTTTTTTTAAAGGAAAAGAAATATATTTACAAATGTAATAGCCGTTGCTAACAAAACATGCATAATACTTAAATAAAAGTACACAAATATTTCAAGTTTCAAGGTTCGTACATAGAGGATATTGAATGAGTGTAGTTTAATACTAAATTTATTGAACGAGTTGAATAAAATCATATTATGTGAGCCTCTGGCGAGCATATTATTGTTTTATTCAACGAGTTCAATAAATTTAGTTTTGAATCTACACGAATATAAAATTCTATTTATCACTATATAAAATAAGAAAGTTTTAAGTGTTTTAAAAAGTAATTTTTCAATGACGCGGTCTATTACGTTTAACGCTAACATAAGCGGCGCTTTAACGCTTATGTTCATACAGCGCAAATGCGTCCACGTAAAGTGTTATTTACACTAGGGTGTAATTTCGGTTTTTATTAACATGGCTTTATTACTCCTGCGCCGCGGTTTAAGTGATAATATAAAGAATGACGTCCAGTTAATACTAGATTGAAGCCCTATTTAAAATAGCACATGGTTCATTTTGTTCGGAAACATTCTGTTCTGTTTGCATATATTATAGTATTCATTCTAATATTTTTTGTTAAATTCTTTTGAAAATTGACCATTAGATTATGGAAAGAGCATGATGTTATCCCTTTCTCGGAGTAGGGGTGTAGGGGTTGTTTTCTTTTCTTAAAGAAATAATGCATTAAATATAGCTTTATTCATTTATTTATTCATGCCAATCATTCACTGACCAAAAATCATGTTATATTTTTTTGTATTCCAGAGTGATTGAATAACAGTTTTTTCTTCCTATAATCATATTATTGAAAAGTGTGCATTGACTATCTTTATCATCATTTAAAATCAAATCTTGTTTTGCGTTATGTTATTTTGTTGTTGTTTTCTTTTAATGTTTTTGCGAATATTGTTTTTCATTTCAAAGCATTATGCAGCAAGAAGATGGTTTATCTTGCGTCATTTAATTTTCAATATTCAATTTTTGATAATATTTATATTTCAAATGTGTTGTGAAACTAACGGATACGTAAAAAATCTAATCTCACTGGATTTCTTTGTTGTTGCGAATAATTGACTTAAGAAAAAAAATAATTATGAGCGACGGTTACGGAATACTTTTTGGAGGGGGGATAATAGTATAATAATAGTTTTTTCGTTTTTACTCGTTTCTTTTCTTTTAATTGTTTCTGTTTTTCATATTGTTATTTTAGCATGATATTAAACCAGTGGTTACGACACAGTAGAACAGAACAATAAACTGGAGTTGTTGAATTATTAAACGGCGTCCATTAACGCTCGACAGTGAAAATGAACACTATGGGTCTGGAATTCCTGAATTTTCTCCATTCGTAATTGTCTGATGCACGGCAAAATCAATCCCTGGAACCTAATGCATTTCTAGTAATGTTATAGAACTTTAATCATGCTTGTTTCCCAGAGCTGACTGTATACTGTTACAGTTTCAGGACAGTTTTGTTGTGACATTTTTAGGTCAGACTCTCGTTTTGTAAAAAAGTGCAGCGAAAACCATAGCGTTCAATGGGAGATCAGGTGATTGGATGATAATGTGATGTTTTTATGTAAAAGCAACATTAGTTTCCTAAGAAAATTAAATATTTCATAAGTCTCTGAGATAATTTTTCATTAGGAAAGTTACATTTTAAATAAAACAGTATACGTCAGTCCTGTGATCAGAAACTTTGAAACATTCAATGAAAAGATCACCCTATCTGAAGTCATTTTGTAAAAACAATTATAATGGTTGGCTTCCCCTATATAACATTTGGCACTTAATTCTCAAAGAAAATCACATATTTAGTATTTAAAGAAGGTTTAGGGGCCATTTCTTATAATGTATTTCTTCTATGGGAAAATCGATATGATTGTCTGACCTTCAAAAGGTGCTTTTCACATATTTTGCATTATCTCCATTGGCCGTCATTTATAAAAATCTAGAAAAAATGATCCCTCGGAAGTATTAAAAACAGCAAAACTACATGAAAATTGCAGACTCGGTTTGATTGAGTCTGTACGTGAGGGATAATGAAAAGTGCAACATCCCTCACGCCCCCTAGCACCGGCCTGAGCGGTACTCAATTGTCAACACTTAAAAGTGCTGGACTCAATGACCCCGAAGGACCAAAAAATATAACAACACTGATGTGTAAAGTCATTCCATCTACATCACGTGCTTCGGATTTAAAAAAAAATCTATAACAAGTCTATATCAACTACATGAAAACTGATATAAAAAATCCGTTTGATTATTTTTTTTGCAATATTTTGCTTTTCATAGGTAGAACAATCAGACCATTCGCCTTAATCATGTGTTTACTTATTTCTTATGTACCATATTATGAATAATGACCCAAAAAATGGCAAAACTTTTGTAAACTGAGCTTAATTTGTAAAATCGTGAACTATCTGTTTAGACTTCAATCATTTGAGAGCAGTCCGTTTCATCGATTCGAAGCTGTTACATGTTTCCAATTAACGTTATTCCAATCCTTTAAAATTAAAAATCACGTATAGCAGAATTCTTAAAATTAAAGTAAGGGTTTCTGATTTATTTTCATTGATTCAGTCATTTAAATACAGATAGAATTCACATTCACTCACATTAAAATATCCCTTGGGGATACAACATGATCAGCAACAACAATAGCAAAACGAATAGAAGACAATAAAAACAACACCCATGCTTGAAACAAAAGCAACAACATAATAAACGGAAACATCCACACAGGCAACAAGAGCACCACCAAGCAAACACAATTTGCTTAAATACAAACTTGTTTTAGGAATCAAAATTAATATTTCAATTAATGGAGACTCATTCGTGAAAGCATTCGGAACTGCCTCGGCTATTATCTATAATAACCTCGGAAACAATACGGATTGAAAGTAGTTCTGCCACGTGGTTTCAGGTGTAAACAGAAACAGAGATAATGTAAAACGAATGTATATATTTGACATCTAATGTCTGTTCCGGTACTCTTTTGCTAGAAAATATGTCTGACAACAATTTGTAATTTAAATATGCCCACTGATGTTCAATTTTAAACAAATCCGACTAAATGTCAACAGGTTGGTTTTTTGTACTTTCGGTTTCTACAACCATAATAATAAATATATAAATAATGTATTGTTTGCTTTTGTACCTATGAATTCACTTATTTTAGGTGGACTTTTACTACATATATTGGAAATAAACTTGTCAACAACTCCCAGCATTAAATTACTATTTGTTTACATGTTTAGTTTCTTAGCGTAGGTTAGACCGAAATACCGCATCCGTTCTGTGTATTCATACTATTGTGTTCGAGGTCCTTATCCGAAGACTGACGGAAAGGGCCGAGTAGTTGCGATTGTCGTGAAAGTCCAAAACCTTATTCATAATACGCTGTTCCGTTGTGACAATGCTGACTTTCCATTTTACCTTAGCACTCGATGCAAGAAAGGAAGAAACACGAAACGAAAAATAAAATTTGCTCTGGAGCTTTACCCTCTAACCGCTACCCTAAAAATCAGAATATTTTCCCATCATATGAATCTTTAAATAAAGAATATTAATTACAGAGTTACTTAATGTTATCTTGATATTAACCTTGATTTAGTAAAGCCAAAAACTGTGTTTCACACATGCTTTTTATATATTTCATGTTTGTCAATTGATATAAATTCCTTTCCATCGGTTCATATGATATAGCTTTAAACACAAAATGTTGAAATTCATACGAAATGACAAAGTGCGACCTTGACCTGAGTACAAGAAAGCCCGCGCTGTTCTCATTATGGTCAATCGTTTAGTCAAAAAGTTTCCATTTCCTTTCAGAGCGGACAAGAAATTTCCAAATCTATACTGACAAAGTGTGACCTTGACCTGAATCCGAAAAGGCCTGCTCGTTAAACATTATTTCATTACAATTAACCTTTCGGACAATTAATTTCAAAATCCTTCATTCGGTTAAAACCGTACAGAGCTGACACGAAATAACTTATGGACGGACGGACAATCAAGAACATAAAAAACAACAAATAAACATCAATTTAAAAAATAATAACATATATTCCAAACTTTACCTTCAAATCTGTAGCTTTTCTCTCCAATATTGTAGCGGCCGTCACAGATTCTTCACAGAAGTTGGAAATGTCGTCATAGCTTTGTTTTACTTGTTTTAATTCCTCTCTTACTCTGTCTAACTCCGCGTCTTTAGCTTGAACAAGCTAAAATATAAATAAAATCCTCATCTTAATATAAATAAACTGTCATCAAAGTATAAAAATAAATAATCTTATCAAACTAAAAATACATCCTCATCAAAATATGAATTAAAATATAACCTCACCAAAATATCTCAGCTGTTTTAAATGAAAATCAAACAAAATAATTTATAACATAAAAAGCATACAAATTAAATAAATAAATAAATAAATAAAATAAGTGAAGAACAAAAACGAAAGCTATAACCTTTAAAATTGTGCGTAGTCGACTTTGAATCGCGGCTAGACACATAGAAGAAGTAAAACTTTAAACAAATGTACGTATTAATAAGACAAAAATATTTTACAGAACAACTCCTGGAAACAGATTCCATTCCAATAGTCGCGTACGATCTTGCTTTTACTGGTTTATACCGGTTACGACAAAGAATAATAAATAACAATAGATGATACGGAGCAATAATTGTTACAACTATATTCCGTATTACATAGAAAAACAAAACAAGTTCTCGCCAGAAACTATATGTTTATTTAAGTCACGTAACGTTCCGTAGATAATCAGTGCCAGCTAGACGTGTTGTTCGCTAGATATGCCTTCGATTTGTATTCCCCCAAAAGGATTCTGATTTCTGTAATTCTGCAACAATTATTATTAGATTCCTTTTATATAATTAGTAACTCGTATGCTAGTAGTACATCCAGAATTCAATCTTCCACGAGAGGAGCAGTGTCTCTAGAAATTTACATAGACAAATTACTTGATGCATATTGAATTCGATTCATTGCACGTGAAAGCTATTTCAGTGCCCTAAACCTATTGAGTTTCATTATTTCTGTTATTTAAATTCTTAACGTATGGTAATGTCTTATCCGTTAGGGGTCGAAAATCACATGAATAGGGATTGAAGAGTTAAGGGATTGAAAACTCATCAAAAGGTCGTTATGAGTCAAAATATCGAGGGGTCGAAATGTCTAACATGTCATGCGTTTAAGTTCCCTTGGGTTGTTGACCATTTGCATGCTGACAAAATTGTCGTCTGCTAAAATGCAGTCTGCTTATTTTTTCTTCTTTTCTAATCATAAGAAATAAACTATGACTGTCAAACACCTTCTAGCTTTCTTTCAGTTTTCTACTCAATCCTTTTTGTAGCATAATGTATATATGTTTGATTGAAATAAACTATTGTTTTAACTGCAATCTGAACAGCTAGGCACCCGGTAGTTACTCGGCATCTAGCCTGGTACCAAACTGCTTGCAAACGCTATTAGAAGGCTAAGAATTATGTAATTAAGATCTAAGAGTTCGATATCCTTAAAAGAACAATTTATATACATGTATATAGCAGTCATCCATGGCGTGGCATAGAAAGTTCAATCGCTCTGCCCGGGTGTGCGAACATCCATTAAAAAATGAAGAAATTCGCGGCTTCTCTTGCCTTCGAAATTAAAACGCTTCGTAACATAATTTAACTCAATTTTAGTTTTCATCTATCACGCGCTGCTTTGAATTAAGATACGTTCCGAAAAATCAAGGAAAATAGATACAGTATTAGAGACATTTGGAACAGTAGCCTAATTGAGATTATTTTGTCATTGGTCTCGGACATTACTGCAGTAAGCATTATTTTTCTCCAAGGAACAGCAATATCTACTGACCTTGCTTTCACTCAAGAATAATGCGTCATAAAATGTTGACAACTCCCTCGAGAAGGTATGAAATGTGTCTCAGAAATTGTCGGGAAATAATACAAGTCGATTGTATGATAAACCAATCACAAATGACACCAAAGAGCTTGTTGTTGCAAAAAGAAACACATTGAATGCAGTTTTGTACATGTCATTGTAAGATAATGTAAGCATGCATTGCGTAAAGCTCAAAGTATTAAATAATGAAACAATAGGTAACTTGAAGTTGTTCGATTTTTTTCTTTCTCTCTCTCCATTTGAGGGGAAAGACTAAAATGCACAACTTAATCATAGTATATATAATATTATACAAGTATGTAACACATAAAAATAATATCTCTTGTATGTTTGGCAAGAAAAATTTGTTATCCATTTGAGGGGAAACACAAAAATGCACACTTTGATCATAGTATCAATCATATTATACAAGTATATAACACAAAAAATAGCGTCTTTTGTATGTTTTGCAAGAAAGACTAGCAATAAAAAGGATTATTTTTTTATTTTTTTTCAACAGCATTTTCCATGACAAATAATTCAACAAATTTTGGTAGTTAAACTGCTTTAACCCGGAATCTTACAAAGCAACGTCGTTCGGAGACAAATGCTTTGGACATTCTTGTACTGCTCATAAGTAACTGAAATGCAACTTCAAAATTGATTTTAGATATTTAAATATACTACTTATTCCATGCATGTCGCATTTTTATGCGAAAAAAAAAACACAATATGACGAAACATCCATACTAAACATTAAAAGTTTGAATCAACAAAATTACATGTAAATAAAACAACACTTTTATAAGTTTGGGAGGAGGACACTCCTACAATGAATATCACTTTGTATGCGTTTATTTGCGTTTTGAATTGTTATATACATATAGTTTATTTTCTGTTGTTTCTTTATGCCGAATAAACACGTTTTGGAAATATCCGGCGAACAATCCTACTCAATCTTTTCAGGATAACTAACCGGGGGTGGTTGTCTCGAAAAATTCTCGTATCTTAAAGTTGTGACTAAACTTACGAAATTGCTAAGGTATAACTAAGATGTCCTTATTTCATTGTCTGGAAGGACACCTTAACGATCTCGTTTCTCAAACGTTATGTACGACATCGTATATGCAAAGGTGACTTTGTGTAGTTAACGCATGACCCACCTAATGCATTAACTCGACTTTGAAGAGGCTAGAACTACGGTCTACTGTAAAGAAACCGAGGGACGTGGGTTCAAGCCCCAGATGAGGCAGATTTTTTTTTTGATTTTTTTCTTCTTAAAATATTATTTTTATGTCTCTCGTATCACTCTTGGTAAGAAAAAAGTGTTTTATTTTAATTATAAAATTATTATCGGTATTTATTGGCTAAGTTATGCCAAATTTATTATCAAATTCCTGATATTTTCAAAGTCTAATAAATCAAACAATAGACGGTAAAAGTATTTTATATTTTACAAGACCAACCAATTTACATGTACTATAAGTGTTATGAGAAAGCGACCAAATACAAATTCATCATGACTTCTAAAAAGCTTACAAGTTCATTAACAAGATCTAGATTTCATCATATTGTATGACTATATTGACCTAACATCATCTAAAGGAAACCTATAGCTAATCACGATGATATTTATATTCCTGCTTTATCATTTGCAGAGACAATTCCTTGCTTAATCATTTGCCAAGACTCAATGCTACACATTCTACATTCAATTGCAGAAAGAAAAAAAACAGAATGAAATAAAGCCACCAGCTGCAGAAAAAAATTCAATGTTCAGCAGGAAGACGATGAAGTTTAAAACACAACAATTCAATTTAATAGATGAAACCCTATCTTAGCCATTGATTTAATAGACATATACCATGCAAACGAAGAAGAAAACGCGTTTAAGCACGTATTTGTAATGCTATTATGTCGTAAACAAACTTTAACCAATAATTACAATTGTTCAATGAAACTTAACGTGTAATTACAGAACAGACAGTAACCAATATTTATTCTTTGAAGGAACGTAAAGAGATTAAGGACGAAAAACTAATGGCGCAAAGAATTAATTGATACTTCATTTCAAACAGAATGAACGAGTTTTACTAAACTAAGCTTGCATCGTGTATAAATCCATAAGGTCAAATCTGGATATGCGAAATCGTGATGTGAGAAAACGCTAAAACTGTATATTTAAGTTGAAAAATCACGATACCGTACGATACTGACTAAATCGAGATACATTAGTATCACAATATAAGTAACAAAATGTGATTTTTCAATATTGAAACAAATCGTATGAATCTTAGTATCGCAATAATTACATTGTGATTTCAGCGTGACATCATATTATTGTTTAGTGATGCATTCAAATCAATATAGTCAAAGGCTTTGACTCTAGTATGAGTATTATCATATAAACGCTTGTAATGTACATTTTCAAATAAGACGAATATACCGTCTGCAACTCGGCGTCCTAGTGACATCATTGATATTTTGAGCAGGATTTTCGCATTAATTGTGAATGATTTTGTAATAGCAATCGGTTGTTGGCCTGCTTGAAAGGACAAACCCCTTTGTCGCAGGCCAATAAATGTATTAGGTTTCCATTACAACAACAAATATGAAAACTTATGAATCCGGAGTTGGCGTATGAGGCTAATTCTTATCTCTATTTCCGGTTCCGCTCATATTACATGTATTATCAATCGCTCTCAAAATATGACTTTTTACATTCCGACTTTTCCATGTTACCGAACTGTTTAATGTAATTCTGATTATGGATAACAGAAAGGATAAAAGCACTGTAGAATTCGCCTAAAACAAGAGGGAAATATTATTTGGTCTGAGAAGAAATTGAAATTTACCGCCACGAATCGCTTGACCAAACATTTTACCCGTATTAGACGTTTTTCAACTTTGATTTCTACACATAATTTGAAAGCGGTCAATAGTTTCCATACCTAAGAACGTAAATAAAAATGCCTTGGATTGCTATGGTATTGTGTTAGAGTCGGAAATATGAATATATATAATCAATGAATAAAAAACGTGCACCATACCTTCGACGTTTCTTCATCAACATGTTGCTTGTACATTGATATTTCGCGGTCTTTTTCTTCGCACGTGATTTTCATTTCTCTCACTTGACGCCTTAAATCTCTTATCAAAAGGTCCTTTCTTTGTGACGGTGTCTGGTATCCATCCGGAAAACACCCCCTATGGTACCCCTCACTACTTCCAGGGGATGTAATATTACTATGTGATGCACCTTTGTCCTGTGAATGTTGTTTCTCAAATCGCAATCGACTTGCAATTGTTTCCCTTGGAAGCTTACTACATCCGGGCACTACCATGCATTCTTGTGATGTCATGAACACATGATTGCGATTACTTCCGCCAGGGATATCGTCTTGAAATTTAAATCCAGGTTTTTGGCTATTAAACACAGACGAGCTTGTATCAAACGTTTTGCTTTTAGGTATTTTACTTTTATTTTGTTTTTGTTCTTTCTTTTGAATATTATCGTCTGCCTTCTTCTTTGAATTGTCATCATGTTTTGGATCGGTTCCATTTTCTCTGTTGACATTATCTTCTAAACTGTCTTTAGTGGTTTCTATATTTCCCATATTTCTCTCATTTGCTGTTTTGGATTTATCCTCTAAACTGTCTGTCATTTTAACCTCAGTTGGGGTAATTTCGTCATCGAACACAAACCCCTCATCTGAATAGTCCAGACTGTCTACTGAAGATGAATGACTTATGAGAGAAAAGTTCGAATCCAAATAAGATGGTAGCGGTTTCTCTGCTGATTTTATAGACATACTAGTATAATATATACTAAATTACTGAAACCTTATAACCGAGCACACTGTTTATTCGTTAAACCAAATGTTAAATGATTATTTGAATGAAACGAGACCAAAATAACTTAACTAAAGTTCACATATTATTTCTTTGGTCTAAATGAATATTTGAATGAAACGTAGCTTAAATTAAAGCAGATGATTTCAAGTTATGCATCTAGTAGCCAACCATAAGCTCAGCTAAATCTTTAAAATTTAAAATAACTCTTCCGTTTGTTTATAAATTCTACCACAAACTGTGCATTATTGACAAAAACACGTCCTAATCAGTGCAGAATTTTCAATTACTTTATTCACTAAATAAATTACGGACACGTCTCAGATTCTCACAATATTATCACCGATGACGGGCAAATTGACGACTCCAGGTCTTATCAGATTTTCAGGAACTTGTTTCCCTCGGGTACAGAAACATTAGATTTGTCTTCATTATTCAACCCAGACTGCCTTTTTTGTCATGAATCTGATCTATGTCTTTCTTGAGATTGGTTTTCCGCATAAAGAGTACTGTTGAATCGTTTTGGTTGTAAATATATCTCCCTAACCCTGAAAATATAGAATGAAATTATGTTTTCAAACGTTAAAAAGGCAAGAAGTCAAGATATTTGAACAAAAACTTAACCAGTTTGCCTGTAAATTTTGTGTGATAGACTCAAGATTTCAAGATTCAAGATTTTACTAAAAACTAAGGCATATAAATTAAATATGAATATGGTTATGATAGAGCAACAATATAATGAACAGTTATTCAAAAGTGATTAACAAAACATACTCATTTATTGAATATCGACCCAAAATATTGGCCGCCATTTTAAATCACTGCCATTTTTGGCAAGGGAGGTAAATATTGTAAATATCGGGAACTATCAATAAACAAACAAAATCATTATGTTATATAGCGATTTACAATGACAATTTTACACGGACATAATAAATTGTACAGTAGTCTGCTGTTGTTCAAGATATTAAATGGAAAACAACAAATTCAGAGTATTTACTGCATTTTAATGATGAATGTATGTGAATCTAACCAAGTGTCGCTTAGATTCTTTATGATTTATTCATGTTTGTGAATACAATACTTAATGCTATGTAATCAAGGATAGAAAGGCTAGAGGAATATACATTTAGTTATTGATTTGGTAGCAACATGTGCTCGGGACATAATATTTAATTGTGTATTCATTCCCATTTAGAAGCATTGGGCTTTTCACACTTAGCATTTCATCAATACACATGTGTAAGAAGCAGTTTAGAAATTCAATCACTGTATTTGTAAGTATATATACATTATATCAATGCGTATGATTAATTCTGATAACAATCATTTCTTCATGTTCTTGTTTCCCTGTATCATTTATTGCAAGTATTTACCAAGTCACGTGCATGCGACACATTGCAATAACAAAAAATATACTTCCGATCACTGTATCATTCATTAATCAAAGCACAGAAGGCGCTGAATTTGTTTGGGTCTCAGAATGTCAGAAAGGTGAAGGTTGTGAGATTATAAACCAATTTGTTTTTGTATAGTGCCACCAATGCTTTCCAGTGTTTTAACTGTAGTAAATTGGCTATAAGACTAATTGCAACATGTACACTGATAGTCAATTCAATGTTTATTTGACTTAAAAAAAATGAGTTGCCTCAACTGGGATTTGAACTGGAAACCTCTCGATTCATAAGCGAGCGTGCAAACCCCTCGGCCACGGTGAAGTTATATATAAATGGTCCGAAGAAAACCATGTTATTCCAAATTAGGGTTTGTAACTCTTATTATTTCGACGCTAGACACAGATGTAAATTATCATGGAGCTTACTGTAAGCATGTATATCTATAAAGAATTAAACAATATTAGAAATCTTCGACCATTCGGGAACTATTTTGCCTGAAAATTAATGCGCCTGTCATTTGACAATCTTTACGCATTGATCTCCCCTGAATTTTTCGGCGTTAGTGTACATATAAAGGGAAGTAACCGCTTCAAAAAAGTGGACTACTTTAGGCATTTGCAATGAACAGCATTAGACTCTAAAATTTCGCTATCATTATTTGTTTGGTCTGATGACCCTAACAAATAAAAACTGATATAATTGAACTTGGATCATCTGTTGTGATCACAGAAAGTAGATGTGTTTTATATCATGTCATTACATTGATTTCTGTTTATAAAATGCATGCCTGATAAATTTAGCTTTATCCGTCACCCTCAGCTTTATTTGATACCTCATCAATACATATTGAAATAAAATGAAGAAAATTGAATATGTTATCTCTTACTACATGTCGTTTGAAAATATTAAACTGATATAATTTGAATCGAATACATTTTTGGATTTTAAAGTCTTAGATTTGATTAAAAACATTTGAGACTATTTCTTAAAGATATGACCTTGACATATTAATTAATACGTGCAGCATGAATCCGAGAAGTTTTTGATAGATTTTTATTTCATTTGAAATAAAAATAAAGAAACGCATTTTTAATTGCAAACATGATAAATAGAATACCAAACAAGTGTCTGATGTTACAAAAATTTCAGACAAGGCTAAGAAAGAAAGAAAAAGGCAAGCCTTGTTTGATTCGAGTTCCAAGTGGTTGTTAAGTGGAAGTAGGTGACGCTTAAGTGGTGTATAATTTAATTGTTAATATATGTTTTAATTTTATTAATATTATTCCTACATGTATACCCTTTGAAGTATTAATGCCAATGGTACATCAATGTTAAGGCTTCTGTTCTTTTTTAAAACAATTGTCATAGCTACTTTCACTTTGGACACACATGGTTAAAATATAAAATGACTGACAAAACGGAATCACCTTAAAATAAATGGCATTTGTAAACAGGTAAATTACACAAATATTTTAAAAGGTAATGTAGTTTGACCAATTTGAGATTTACACATATAGGAAAATCGTATTTATACACAATCTATCTGGCTATAGAAACACTGATAAATGCACACTGTCTTAGAACGTCTATAATTCTATATGTATGGACAATAACATGGTATTTTCATCGAAATAATGTGAATAAAAAAAACACCAAAAATCTCATAGTCTACATATTTTCATCATTCCACACCAACAAAGCAACACAGCGGTATTTTTTTCTTCATGTAATTGCATTACGAGAAACATTTTTTAAAACTAAAAGTACTTCATATGATCAAATTTTCAGGTGAAAATACGCATGATTTTTTGCAAAGACATATCATAAAGACAAAAGAAGAAAAATGGAAAATGTAGATGTGTTTTATTATTTATATTAGTGTATATATACAGATACATGTAGTGCGTAAACTGGAAAAACTATGACTTTTTCTTGACCTGATTCAATCACAAAAAACACATTTTCTTCATCACTGCTGACTATATAATCTTTGTATAATTCATCTTAGTAACCTATTTTCTGAATATACGATTATACATGTACCTTGCTTTTTAAATCCGAATTGTTCAGTAATCCTCTTTCAATAGACTGAGATAATGTCACTTATGTTTTGTTTGTCATTATACCGCTAGTTATAGTGGTATTACAGATACGTTTTGTTCTTGCATTTCACGACATTCATACTTTTAGGTTTAACTTTATCCCGATGCCTTAACCACGTGACATTTTATGATCTGAATGGGTCAGTAAGCCGGTACAAATGACGGTTCATTTTTTTCATAACCTTTAAAGATATTACTTTTAACTTGGTACTTAATGCATTGATTAATACTAGTACAAATGTACTATTTTGGGCATCCGTGTCCGACTGGTTAAGGTCGTTCACTGTTTATTAACCACTTGCAACTCGCCGGAGACCGAACGTCCGAACGTCGGTGAATCTTTCCAAGTACCCGTTCGTGCATGAAACAATGAACGGAAGTGAACCTGAGATAAAATGTTGGTGTTTTATACCCCCCCCCCCGTTAAAAAAAACAACAACAAAAAACAACAAAAAAACAAAAGCAAAAAAAAAACGTCATTTGCTTCACGAAACTTTCATGGAATAAATCGAAGCATGTCATATTTATTAAAGGCGGTACAATGCAATAGAAAACAAAACATGACGAACAGGACAAAACGCATATGAACAAACCGAACAGGTTAACATGTACAAGGTCTGAAATTTTCACTTTTTAAACTCTTTATTACTCTCAAGGGATATCGCATATTCCAGATTTTTATATTGACAGGTGCTGTATGGCTGCTGTTATAAACTTGCCTCGTATTTCTCTAGCGTTGCTATATTTTCTGGTCCCTCGGGATCATTTATTGTTTCGAAGAATAAATACTGATTAAGTCGGTGCTAGACGGCGTTAGAAATGTTGCATTTGACATTATGTCATAGACTTGAGGTGATTTACAGAAACATTCATATTTGATGAGCAAAAACATCATTAGCAAAAATAAAGTATCATAACACTGCTTTCATAAATGTAAATGTATAACTAACAATGCAATATTAATTGCGCAATTCAATACGTCATTTAATACACTGCGACTCGCTATGAAATATTTATTTAAAATCCAAGCGAGCTAAACAACATTTTATCACAATAACAACTATATAATCGATAGTAATAATTTGTCTCTGCTGTGCAGTAATCAAAGATGGAATATTTCAAAATATTTCTCAGGCTCTTTATGTACTTCAGTTAAATAAAACTTTGAATTCTTGCTACATGTATTCAAGTTCCGATAAATAGAAATTTCTCCGTGATTGTTTATCTCGGACATGAAGTCTATTGGGCGTTTTTGTGATTTACCGCTGATAAAAAAATCATGTTTGATAAGTATTCGGTGACTTGCTGCGAATTTGTTAATTTACTGGTTAGTTAGCCGGTTAAGTGAACCCATTACCGAAATATGATAAAGATTGTGTTAAAATCGTCGTACAAACCAATGAACCAACCAACAAAACAAACACACAAGCATATTCTTCATAAACAAAATTTCATCTTGAAATGATCCCCGTTGCTTATTTTCAGTAATTTAGTCCGTTCCATGTTTCAGACTGTAAGTCGTCTCTCCAAGACTTTTAATCTGTTTTATTTCATTAAAAAGCTGGGGTTGATATCTTAATCATGCTTTTCTTAGAATCTTCTGGAAATCAATAACGGTATCAGAAATTATAAAACTGTATTTTCTCTGTCGAATATCATTGCATATTTTTACTCGACTTCAGATAAAAAATAACATCATAAGGGGTTTGTTTCAAAACTGACCTAAACAACACTATAATTGTGAGAGAAAAAAAAATTGAAATTCGCTCTCAAAATAGTAAAAATGAAAGTATTGCAAACTGTGTTTGATTGAGTATGTTTGTAAATGACTTTGCTTTTCTTATAGTTTGTTCACGCCCACTAGCACCGACTGAAGCGGAATTCTAAATAGTATAATGTCACGAGACGGTGTTAGCAATACAATGAAGAGAAGACAAAAACAACAACAGTAACAGTAGTTGTATCATAGTTTGGGGACCTTTCTGTTGAAAATGTGTCAGGTTTAAATCGTATACATATACATGCACAGTGCGTTAACTGGAGTGCGGG